AGAAAAAAAAAATCCCACCTCACCATATCTCCTATTTTTATTTTAACAGAGGAAAAAAAGTGAGAGGGGAAACTCATCACTATGGGTTTGATTGGCTGGCAGCAGCCTCATACACCTGCTCATGGCATCAGAGCCCATACTTGGCACATCTCATTTAGTGTCAAAATATTTTAAAATGCCATTGAGTTTAAGTGTAGCACCAAATGATGCACTGTAATAAAGAATCACAGGGGTTAAATTAAAAGTGGAGGAAATAACTTGGCCAAACAAACTGGAAGGAAAATTAATCTGTAGGTTTTATCTAGATCTCTGGTTTTTCTAGAGGAATTAGGATTCTTTGTTGCAGTTCTTTCTTATTTGACTGATAGATTTTGCTTAAAATAGACCTTAGTATTCTATTTTTGCTAAGGAATATAGTAGATTATTTTGTTATAATTATATTTCATTAATAAAAATGATGAAAATAGGCAATATCCAATTAAGAGATCAGCCTATAATATCCTGAAAAGGATTTATTTTAATCATTTTAAAAAATTGTAAGGCCAATCAGTTTCTGTGGACAATCTGTCAACAGCATTTCACCTCTCCTGTGGGTTAAAAATAGCTAAAATTTTTGTTACGTCTAAGAATACTACCTGAAATACGTAACAGTCGATCAAGTTTCATAACTCCTCCTTTCAACGAGGGTACACTGCAATGTGTAATTGTCTTAATGTCCATATTATCAAGTCATCGATTTAAAAATACATTATAAATATTTTGTGGTCAAAAACATTACCAAAAAGCCATCCTTTCTGTGATCTCTGGTTTGAAGAATGCGATTATTCCTGTGGATGCAAAACTGCATAAACAAGTAACCTAATGCCTACAACTGAAATATATTACGCAGTTATCAGTTACTTAGCTTTCATTTTAAGGGTTCACACAAGTTAGTGCAGCCCCAGTTGGCTAGCAGCATAGTGTAATTATTTCTAGGGCTAATTCTAAAGCAAATTTCCTACAGAAAGAGAAAAAGAGGACAAGGTTTCAACTTGTGTTAAACGTCTACCTTGAACCTGACAATCCTACCAAGTGATTTAGACTAGTGAATCTGTCTCAATTCTGTAAATGAAATTGCTAGATTGAATAGATTGGGGAGGTTTTGCAATGTATTTAGAGAAAAAATTTGCTTCACCTTCTTCCACGTCTATGTTTATGAATTCTGTAGGTAAGTCCCTGGTGCATGAGAAAAAGAAGCCATGCTATATGTAGCTGAAATCTTCAGGGGAATTCC